TTTAGGGTTTAAAACCATATTAGAGTTTAGGGTTTAAAACCATATTAGAGTTTAGGGGTTCGAATAGCTTTTCTTAGCATTAGAAAAATGCTCTTATTTGTTTTCGATAGCATTAATGAAATCACTTAAAAATATCTTTAGCGCCTAAGTCCAATTTCCCGCTAAGTATTGGTGGAATCATTAATTTTATTTTTCGCGCTTACTTAATTTTCAAAATAGCGTTAAATAAATGTTATTTTAGGTTAGACTCTATCATTGCGTTTATTTAACGCTATCATATAATACAGGGATTTCTGAATCATCTAGGATAGCAGTTTGGTAAAACGTGCTATAACAATGTGCTATCAATGTAGACTTTTTGTAGTGAAGATATGAGACTATAGGTCTTTTTGTAAATCTTGTTGTTCTCAATGTTCTCCATATTCGTATTTGTCTTAAACTTTGTGAAACTTTATTTAAATATTGGTGAAACTATATCAAATGTTGGTGAAACTTTGTGGTTTTAACTTTTCAATTTTCCAACTTCAAAAAAGTTAGATGAATTAGAAGTTCGTGCTCATATAAACTGGTAAAAAAATTTTGTTTTGACTTAATCAATTGTCAAACTTTGTAAAAGTTAGACAAAGTTGAAATTCTTTTTTGTATAAATATGTCAGACTTTGTGTTACTTTCACTTTCTCAATTGTCTAACATCATAAATATTATCGAAACTTAGGAAAAACTTACAAAAAACTTAGAAGAAATTTTTACTTTGTCATAGCTGTAGGAATTACTTTTTGTACATCATAATTCTCAGAACTAAAACGAAAGCAACAATAACACAACCTCCTGATATCTTTCTCTTGGGCAATTATTTTGGGACCTTCACTATGTTCACCTTCACTCCTTGTTGTTGCTTTGAGAAATTGAACTTGTTCTTCTAGCATTCAAACTTGGTAGTCCAACAGTTGTATCTCATCGTTGAAAACTTCATCAACCTATTTGAAGACGTGATTATCGTTCTCAAGCTACAACATATTAAACGTACCAATTAAAAGAAGAACGAGTAAGCCTTCAATAACTAAAGCTAAACGGATGTACCCTTTTTGAAACCGCATAGAGACACCGATAATACCGACGATATGGGTTTTTGATTTCTTCTGGAGAGAAGCTCGGTGATGCTCACCCCGCACCAACCCTTTTTAGATATTCCCATAGTTCTTACTTGTCTCCGACCACCGGTCGTGGAAGATGAAGCAGACATCTCCTTTATTTCTCTCCCGTGGTTGGGAGAAGTTTGGTTGGGAGAGAGATAAATTAGGGAAGAGAGAGAGAAAGGAGAAGATAGCGTATGGGGAAAACCAAAAAGGTCTTTTAATACTCTGATTAAAATATTTTGGGGTTTTAGTAAACTGGGAAGAGGAAAATTAGAAATTCGAAAATCTGAGCGGGAAATTTTATCCAGAGATTTCGTGGTAGAAGTTTCACCAAGTTTTTAGTTTTATAGAAAACATCAAAGTTGTACTTTTTTAATATTTCAATTCATCTTAGTTATATTCTACTTGAATGACTGATTTTATAGTTATACCAATTAAATTATGTTTCCTCGGTTCATTTCTCATACAATCATGTACACATAAACTGGATTTCGTACCATTATCAAATTTTCAAATCTAACGAGGTGAGTATTAACAAAAAAGCTATGAGAACGCAGTGTATTTCCTAAATGATTGCTAACAAGCAATGAGATGAAATTTTAATAAAAATTAATAATAAATCACCACCTTATTACTTCCATGACTTATTAACAAGTTTAGAATTAACAATCATATTATTCACTTTACCTATTGTAGTTATATCAGTAAAGAAAAAAGTTTCACTTGGTTGTACAACACACAAATACAAATTTCGCCTCACAACGTTCCTGTACGAGAAAAACATAAAAACTGAAAGTGCAAGGCTTACAATCTACTTCACATCAAAACTGAAAGCAAAAGGTTAACTACCTTCTTCACATCAAAACTGAAAGCAAAAGGTTTACAACCTACTCCTCTTATGTTTCTTGTGGGGGGTGTTCATAGTGTTCTAAGCCAATTTCCAGCTTCTCTTCTTCTCCATAACCACTCTCACGCTCACTACAATTCATAATATAAGAGCTTTCTCCATCTCTTGATAATTGCTCGGTTTTTTGAACTATTTACAATTCTTGGATGTCTTCCACATGGAAAATACTTCTTCTTTGCTATCTATCCACTGATGTTAGATAAACAAACACATCTTCATCATCTAAAATATATGATTGTCTCTTAGGTACCACTACCCATGGAATAAAATCCAAACTGAGCCTATTTGTAAACAGATCTATATCTTCCTGCATATCCTCTCTTTCAACAATGAATAACTGATCTCCTACAATGATGATGTCTTACAGGATATAGCATACAAACGAGCATCGGTTGGAATCCATTTATTACTATCGCCAGCCTTCGAATAATGTTCGTTATAATCAAAGTGTATGTTCGTCGAAAAGGACACATTGTCTGCAATATAAGAAAATAATCATTAAAGGTATACTTTGTTATACCATGTTACAGAGTTTTATCAGTAATCAGTCCGTCTAATCTAACCAAGTTTCCCCAAGTTTCAGCGTTCTAGATGTTTCTCTCAAAACTAAATAGTAATCAGCTTTCTTTGATTGAAACGTCCTTTCATTCTCGACATTCAATCATACAGTTGTTGATTATCCAATTGAGTAATAGACAGACCATCCACACTTTCCGATCCTCATACACAAATAAATAAGAAATTTTCCATTACTACGAATCAAGTCTTCAATTCAAAACCAAACTGTAATCAGCTTTGATTCCCGACATGCAGTTATACAGTTGTTGATTATCGAATTTCCTAATAAACAGATCATCCAAACTTTCCGATCCTCGATTAGTTCAAATATAAATATGAAATCTTCTATCCAAATCGGAAGAATCCCTGTGAATAAATTGTCTATGGTGGATTCTAGAACGATTTGATTTGAGATACATACCCTCTAAAATGGTAGCTCAATGATTCAACATCCAAGCGATGAAACCGAGTTAGCAATTCGATGATAGCAAGGAAGAGCACCACGACGAGGATGAGAGAGGAATTTACGAAAGAGAGGATCGAGGAAATGAGGAAGGCAAAGATAATCTAGAGAGAAGAGATGAATCATTAATTTAAGTTTAAATCGGCCAGTGCCACTTTTGATATTAACCACATTCTTACCATACAATTGTTTCAACACCCTTTCCACTTTCAACACCCTTATTTTCATTCCACGTACATCTTCCTCTCTTCCACCTAATTTATTCAAAACTCACTTCATTTTAAACATCTACAATGGTTTATTTTAAAAATTTCAACAACCTACCCCACAACTTTTAATTCTTATTTTTACAACATAATAATTAAATATTAATACTTAACTTAAAACTAAAATAACATAAAATTTAATAATATTTTTATTTTAATTTATTATACTAAGTTTATTTTTAAGTAATATTAAGATCAATAAAAACTAAAAATTAAATTTTAATAATATTGGTTTTAAATTATTATACTAAAAATGACGTTTTGTTTTTGGTATCCAAATGAAATGCGAGTAGTCTCTATTCATAGATAAAAAATGATTTTTGATATAATTTTTATATTTTTTAAAAAAGTTTTATTATATAAAAAATATGTTTGAATTATTGGATGAAAATAAAAATAAAAGAAATCTGCATAGTCAATCAAGAAACGACATGTGACAGCCGTGAGTCACAAAAAAAGGTTTCAATATGTTGAAACTTTGCAACGGGTATTTATGCCACATAGATAAACTAAATTTATCAATACTTTTATTGTAAAGGTTTCAATAGTTGAAAGGAGTTTTCAATATTCTCATTGTGGATGGTTTAATAGATAAGAGTATACTAAAATTTATAAGAATATGCCTAGATACTTTTTGACTCATTAAAAGTATCTAAAGAAATTGACCATAATGGAAATCACGTCAACACTAATTCTCATTGTAGATGGTTTAATAGATAAGAGTATACCAAATTAGTAAGAATATGCCTAAATACTTTTTGACTCATTAAAAGTATCTAAAAAATTGACCATAATGGAAAGCACGTTAACACTATCTTCCAAGGAAAGCACGTGAACACTATCTTCCAAGGCTGCATTTAATATTACAACGCACATGTAGGACAACGCACATGTAGGACAACGCTTACAAGAATTCAGTAAAAAAACTTTTATCTATTTTCATTTATGTAAACTGATCCCTTTTTAGAAGCTAGCATTCAGGCTTTTAGAACTCATTTCATTACTCGTATGCCCACGGTCTATGTGTCTACTTTTTATTACCAAAGCTATGATGTAAAGCCCTTAATTAGTGTAATAATGTGTGAGAGACTGTCGGAAACAAAATATCTGATATATTTTCTAAATGATGTGCTCTTTTTTTTTTCTTTTTGCAAATATAGTAGTATAAGACTTCGGATCGAGATCCAAGTATCCAACTAAGATTTGACTTGTGTATATCACATTCTCCACTTTTCCAAGAATCCGTCTAGATTCAACTCGTGAACTGATCCTCCTCTCCTAATTTTGTAATGTTTGAGATTTGTTGCAAAAATAAAAACAAAATGGTTAATTTTGTTCTAAAAGGGGCATCTATAGTCTATATAAAACGCTCATGAACTATGTGAATATACTCCGTCTACATACATCATTGGCGTATTTTTGGTCCTCTTTGTACAACTGGCATGACTGTAAATCCTAATTAACCTAATGTGATAAAAAGTTAATTGTTGACGGAAACTAGTCTACATTCATTTTACCAATAAAAGCGTTTTATTTTCGATACACACGAAGTACACGTGACATCTTCCTATAAAAACAAACCCAACCGCATGCAGCACTAAAAATCATCAGAATCTCCAAATTAAAGCCTTTACAAGATCACATAAGAAACACAGCAAAAAAAAATCACCATGGGAGGACTCGACGAAGCTTTTATCCAAGCTCCTGAACACAGACCCAAAACTGATCTCAAAAACTCCGGTGACTACATTTACTCCAACGAGATCCCGACCATCGACCTCTCTTCTCTCCAAGACCCAGACTGCGACAAGACCGCGCTCGCGACAGAGATTGCTGAAGCATGCATGAGGTGGGGGTTTTTCCAGGTGGTAAACCATGGCTTGTCGTTGGACTTAAAGCGTCGGGTGGAGAAGACGATGGCGGATTTTTTCAGTCTAACGTCGGAGGAGAAAAGAAGAGTGAAAAGAGACGAAGTGAACCCTATGGGTTATCACGACGGAGAACATACCAAAAACGTTAGAGACTGGAAAGAGATTTTCGATTTCTTTTTACAGGACTCCACGACGGTTCCGGCGACTACGGAGCCGGAAGACACCGAGCTC